CGAGCGGCGGGCTCGGAGTTTTGTCTCCTCTTAAACAGAACTTTCCCCCAACTTCTCCCCTTAAAGAGCGAAAGCCACGTCCCACTTGGCCTCCCCGCCGCCCACCAGCGCCCGGCGCCCTCGCAGCCCCTTTCGCGACAGAGCCCGAAGCCCTTTACGGCCACGCCCCCTGGGCTCCCCGGCCGCGTGCTTGGGGGGTGGCGCGCGCGCACGCGCGCAGTTGTGCACCTTCGCCTCTCCCCTCCCCCCCCCCGCCCCGGTCGTGGCTCTTCTCTGTCGAGGACCTGGGGTCAGGTCTTCAGGAGGTAGGGGTTTCGCGGCTCTTCTCTGTCGAGGACCTGGGGTCAGGTCTTCAGGAGGTAGGGGTTTCGCGGCATAGGTTTTAACCCTTGCAAAAATGAGTTTTTGGCCCCAGAGATGCACTTTCCCGGAACACCGGGCTGCAGTCGGTCCCCCCCGCCCCACCGCCCCCACTTTGTCCCCACACTGCTCTCAAGGCCTGCCACCCAGCAGGGTTTCGATAATTTGTTTTCCCTTACACTATCTGGGGGGGGGGGGACGGGGGAGGCGATAAGTGGGTGACTTTATGTTCTAGGCCTGTGGCCCCCGGGACGGGCTAAAAGGAAAGACTGGGGGATCCTGCCTGCCTGAGTGCTGCCTGTTTGGGACTGAGCTTTCCAGTGATCAGATGGAGCGAGTAGGTCCACTTTTGAAAGCTGTCAGGGTTATTCAAAGGATTAGGGGGGAAATGGCGTCAAGGCCCATTGCAGACTTGATGAAACCATCGGACAGTGGCAAATGGTATTGTTAGTAGACCGTGTGTCTCTGGTGGTTGTGGGCAAAGCGCTGGAATTAGATCCCGGATTTGGACCCCAGCTTCCTGATATGCTGGCTGGGAGACTTTGGGCAAATCTCAAGCCTGAAAAGGACTGCTGGTGCTGAGTTGCAAGCGGCCGGGTGCAAGGACAAGAGAGAGGCACGGAGGAACTAAGGGTGGCCCCCAGCTGTCAGCCAGCAGGGAAGCAGGGACCTCAGTCCTACAACACGAAAGAACTGGATTCTGCCCACACGGTGAATGAGCTTGGAAGTAGTTCCTTCCTAGGGCCTCCTGGTCAGTCACCCGACCCCTTGATTTTGTTCTTGCCAGACCCAGAGCAGAGAAACCCGCTAAGGTCTGACATTCAGAACACTGATAATAAATTGTATTGACTTGAGCCCCTAGACTTGTGGTAGTTTCTTATAGCATCAGTAGAAAACTAGTGTCGGAGAGGTCTGGTTGTGAGTGGGGCCTGGAACTTAGTCCACAGGACGTTTACATGAAGTTAGGAAAAAGTCAGTCGTGAGCCTAAGGATGGGGGAAAGTGGATAAAGATCCTTCAGGACTTGTCACAACCTTATTATCCTTTGAGCTCTGTTCATACAATTTAGAGTCTCTCCCGCCGCCCCCGCCAGGATAAGCGTTGAAAATATCTTCTCCCAGCTGAGGGTTGACTTTTTTTTTGAAAATAGACTTTATGTTTTAGAACAGTTTTAGGTATATAGAAAAATAGAGAAGATAGCAACAGAGAGTGCGGGCTTAACTTCCCACTCTGATTAAGGTTCCTTTGATAAACATAAGATTTTAGTTTAAAAAATATTTTGGGGCTGGGGCGCCCGAGTGGCTCAGTCAGTTAAACGTCCGACTTCGGCTCAGGTCATGGTCTCGCGGTTCGTGAGTTCGAACCCTGCATCGGGCTCTGTGCTGACAGCTCAGAGCCTGGAGCCCGCTTTGGATTCTGTGTCTCCCTCTGTCTGCCCCTCTGCCGCTTGCACTCTGTCTCTCGCATTGTCTCAAAAATAAATAAACATTAAAAAAAATTTTAAAACATATCTTGGGGCACCTGGGTGGCTCAGTCGGTTAAGTGTCCGACCTTGGCTCAGGTCATGATGTCACGGTTCATGGGTTGGAGCTCCAAGTCAGGCTCCGTGGTAACAGCTCAGAGCCTGGAACCTGCTTTGGATTCTGTGTCTTCCTCTCTGTCTGCCCCTCCCCTGCTAGTGCTCTGTCTCTCTCTCTCTCTCTGAAAAATAAACACTAAAAAAAATTTTTGGAATAAAATACAAAATCTTTTAAACGTGGGGTGCCTGCGTGCCTCCGTCATTTGAGTATCTGCTCCTGATTTTGGCTCAGGTCATGATCCCAGGATTGTAGGATCAGCCTTGTGTCTGTGCTGGTAGCATGGAGCCTGCTTGGGATTCTCTCCTCTCTCTCTCTCTCTCTCTCTCTCTCTCTCCTCCTCCTCTCCTGCTCACATGCTTTCTCTCTCAAAATAAATAAACATTAAAAGAAAAAAATTATTTTTAATGTTTATTCACTTTTGAGAGACCGAGAGAGAGCATGAGCAGGGAAGGGGCAGAGGGAGGGAGACACAGAATCCAAAGCAGGTTCCAGGCTCCGAGCTGTCAGCACAGAGCCCGACGCAGGGCTCGAACTCACAAACCGTGAGATCATGATCTGAGCCAAAGTCAGACGTTTAACCGACTGAGCCCCCCAGGCTGAATGCTCTAGTGTTTAAAACAAACTTGAGGCGAAATTCATGTAATATATAACTAAATCTCCATAAAGTGCACAATTCAGTGATATTTCGTGTATTCACAGTGTTATACTACCGCCAGCTTTCTCTAGTTTTAAAATTTTTTCAATGCTCCCCCAGTGCCACTCAGTGATCGCCCCGCAGCCTCCCTCCCCTCACCCCCTGGCCACCATCAATCTCCCTTCTGTCTCCACGGATTTGCCTGTTCTTGGTATATCATACGCACTCCTCTGCTGAGGCTTCCACGATATACCACAGAATGGGTGAGTTTAAACAACAGAGATGTATTTTCTCCCAGTTCGGGAGGCTGGCAGTCCACGGTCAAGGTGTTGGCAGATTTGGGTTCTTCTGGGCCTCTGTCCCTGGCTCGCACGCAAATGGCCACCTCGCCACTGTGTCCTAGCATGGTCTTTTCTGTGCTCACTGAGCATCCCTGGTGTCTCTTCCTCTTTCTATAAGGACACCAGTCCTGTTGGCTTAGTATTCCACCCCTGTGACCTCATTTCACCTTTATTACTTCTTTAAAGGCTACTATGATCTGAATGTTGTGTCCGCCCCACCCACCCCTGCCAAATTCATATGTTGAAATCCTAAGGCCTGATGTGATGGTGTTAGAAGGGGGGCCTTTGGGAGGGCTTAGGTCATGACGGTGGAGCCCCCCATGACTGGGATTAATGCTCTTATAAAAGGGACCCCCACGGTACTCCCCAAAGCCTTGGCCTTCTCCTTGTGCCCTGTGAGGGCTCAGCAAGAAGTCCCCGGCTGCTATCAACCAGGAAGAGAGCCCTCACCAGAGTTCAGCCATGTGGGTGTCTTGATCTTGGATTTACAGCCATTTTTGTTTCTAGAAACCTTGCTAAACTCTACTACGAGTGCTGATGATTTATCATTAGATTATTTCAAATCTACGAACTGTGAGAAATAAATTTCTGTTGCTTATAAGCACCCCCCAGTCTGTGGTATTTTGTCACGACAGCTACAATGGACTAAAACAAAGGTCCTGTCTCCGAACACAGTCACGATGGGAATTAGGACGTCAGCATATAAATTTGGGGGAACACAGTTTGGTCCATCACATCATATAAAAGGAATAGCGGCGCCTGGGTGGCTCAGCTGGTTAAGCCTCTGACTTCGGCTGAGGTCATGATCTCACGGTTTGTGAGTTTGAGCCTCACGTCGGGCTCTGTGCTGACAGCTCAGAGCCCGGAGCCTGCTTCCCATTCTGTGTCTCCCTCTCTCTCTCTGCCCCTCCCCCACTGTGCTCTGTCTCTCCCTCTCAAAAATAAATAAACATTAAAATAAATAAATATATAAAAGGGATCATACAGAGGCACTGGCTGGCTCGGTGGGAAGAGCATGCGATCCTTAATCTCGGGGTGATGAGTTAGGGCTCCACGTTGGTGTAGAGATTTACTAAAAATAAATAAATAAACTTAAAAATTTTTTTTAAAAAAAGAATGCTACACTGTGTGGCCTTTTGTGTCTGGGTTTTTTCACTTTGCATAATATTTTCGAGCTTCATCCAAGTTGTAGCATGTATCAGCACTTGATTCCTTGTTCGGGCCAAAAAGTATTTCACGAACGTGCCACAATTCGTTTATCTGTTCATCCATTGGTGGCCACTGGCGGTGTCTCTACCCTTTGGCTAGTATGAGTGATGCTGCTCCAAACATCCTTGTACAAGTTAGTGTTTTAATTTTGATGAAGACAAAATATCAAGGTTTCCTTTTATGCTTCCCCGCCCCCCCCGGTTTTATTTTAAGAAATGCTTGGGGCGCCTGGGTGGCCCAGTCGGTTGAGCATCCGACTTGATCCGTCATGATCTCACGGTTCGTGGGTTCGAGCCCCGCGTCGGGCTCTGTGCTGACAGCTCAGAGCCGGAGCCTGCTTCGGATTCTGTGTCTCCCTCTCTCTGTGCCCCTCCTCCGCTCCTACTCAGTCTCTCTCTCTCTCTCTCTCAAAAATAAACATTAAAACAAATTTAAGAAAAGAAGAAATCCTTGACCTCCCTGAGGTCATATACTCTCTTCTAAAAGCCTTGATGTTGGTTTTCTCATGGTCGTGGGCAATCCACCTAGAAACACATTTCGAGGCGGGGATCTACTAGTGGTTTTCCCCCCGTGTGTGCCCAGTTATCCCGGCCCTGATTACTGAATATTTTATCCGTTTCGTCCAGTCTGCGATGTAACAGCTGTCAGGTGTCAACTGTGTCAATTCGTCGCATGTCTGCATTCTGTTCCATTAGTGTCCATCTTGGGGCTGTTACTCTAGTGACTTAATTACTTTATACTAAGTAGGCTTTGTAGTAAGTACCGATATCTGGTTAAGCAGGATAAGCCTCCCCCCCCCCCCCCCCCCCCCCCCATCTGCTTCTTCGGGAATGTCCTGGCTTTTCTGCCTGTTCTGACTTTGAATTCCTTGCTTAAGTTTCACCAGGACAACCAGACCCACCTGATGAGACTTCTTCGATGCACTGGACCAATTTGGAAAAGAATCAGAATGCCTTCTGTTGAGCTGATCAAAGGAACACCAAGGATTGCCAACAGTCACCAGAAGCCGGATGGGACAAGGAAAGATTCTCTCCTTGAGACTTCAGAGGGAGCATGGCCCTGCCGACACCTTCATTTCTGATTTCTATCCTCTTGAATTGTGAGAATGGATTTAAGCCACTCTAAGCCACTCTTAAGCCACCGCTTTAAGCCACTCGGTTTGTGGCAATTACAGTATTCTTAGGAAAATAATACACCAAGCAGCGCCTGGGGGGCTCGGTGGGTTGAGCGTCCAACTTCGGCTCAGGTCGTGATCTTGTGAGTTCGAGCCCCGCGTCGGGCTCTGGGCTGACAGCCCGGAGCCTGGAGCCTGCTTCTGATTGTATGTCTCCCTCTCTCTCTCTGCCCCTCCCCTGCTCATGCTCTGTCTGTCAAAAATGAATAAACTTTAAAAAAAAATTAAGAAAAAATAACACACCATTAAAAAACTGTTTTGATCCTATTACAAATGACATATTTTATTATTATTATTTTTTGAGAGGTAGGTTTTTTTTAAAGTTTATTTATTTATTTTGTGAGGGTTGAGGGAGCGGCAGAGAGAGAGAGAGAGAGAGAGAGAGAGAGAGAGAGAACCCCCGCATGGGGCTGGGTCTCATGAACTGTGACATCATGATCTGAACCCAAATCAAGAGTTGGAGGCTGGGGCGCCTGGGTGGCTCAGTCGGTTAAGCGGCCGACTTCGGCTCAGGTTATGATCTTGCGGTCCGTGAGTTCGAGCCCCGCGTCGGGCTCTGGGCTGACGGCTCAGAGCCTGGAGCCTGCTTCCAATTCTGTGTCTCCCTCTCTGACCCTCCCCCGTTCATGCTCTGTCTTTCTCTGTCTCAAAAATAAATAAACGTTAAAAAAAAAAAAATTAAAAAAAAAAAAAAAAAGAGTTGGAGGCTGAACCAGCCAGGCACTCCAGAGGTAGTTGGGTTTAATTTTTATTTACTTATTTTTAAAATTGCGGTATAAATAACACAGTGTTCTATTAGTTTCAGGTGTACAAAATAGTGATTCAACAATTGTGTACATTACTCAGGTGGCCATCACGGTAAGTGTGCTCATTAATCCCCTTCATGTAACCCCCCCATCCCCCCCCCACCTGCCCTCTGGCAACCACCAGTTTGTTCTCTGTAGTGGAGAGTCTGTTTTTTGTCTCTTTTTCCTTTGTTCCTTTGTTTTGTTTTGTTTCTTCAATTCCGCATATGAATGAAATCAACTGGTATCTGTCTTTCTCTGGCTGGCTTACTTCGCTTAGCATAATACACTCAAGTTCCATCCCCATTGTTGCAAATGGCAAGACTTCATTCTTTTTTATGGCTGAGTAATATTCCATGTGTATGCATGCCACATCCTCTTTATCCATTTATCTGTGCACGGACTAGAGGACACCTTTTAGAAAATGCATTTTCTCTTCCTGGTGCATGGAAGCACTGCTGACTTTCATGTTTCATTTTCGTTTCTAGACACCTTGCTAAGCTCTCCTACTAATACTAACAATTGAGATTCTTTCAAACCGAAGATGTTTAAAAAACCATCATTAGAGGGGCACCTGGGTGGCTCAGTTGGTTAGGCATCTCTTAATTTTGACTCAGGTCATGATCTCACGGTTCGTAAGTTTGAGCCCTGTGTCCGCTCTGTGCTGACAGCTTGGAGTCTGCTTGGGATTCTCTCTCTCTCAAAATAAGTAAATGAATTTAAAAAAAAAAAAACAAAAAACTATTATTAGGGGCGCCTGGGTGGCTCAGTCGGTTGGGCGGCCGACTTCGGCTCAGGTCATGATCTTGAAGCTTGTGGGATCGAGCCCCGCATTGGGCTCTGTGCTGACAGCTCAGAGCCTGGAGCCTGCTTTGAGTTCTGTGTCTCTCTCTCTCTCTGCACTTCCCCCACTGTCACTCTGTGTCTCTTTCTCTCTCAAAAATAAATAAACGTTAGGGGCGCCTGGGTGGCTTGGTCATGACTTCGGTTCAGGTCATGATCTCATGGGCCGTGAGTTTGAGCCCCGCGTCGGGCTCTGTGCTGACAGCTAAGAGCCTGGAGCCTGTTTCAGATTCTGTGTCTCCCTCTCTCTCTGTCCCTCTCCTGTTCATGCTCTGTCTCTCTCTGTCTCAAAAATAAACAAACATTAAAGAAAAAATTAAAAAAAAATAAACGTTAAAAATAACTATCATGAGAATATAATGGTTAATAGCTGTGGTAGTTTAAAAAACATGCCCACAAGTTTTTTGCTACTTTTCTCCTCATGGTTCTGCCCCTTGGTTAGTTATGAGTTATAGACAGAGACTATACTGGGGGAGTTGTCTCACAAGGTCATCTTTATTTGTACAAATAAGAAGATTGTGAAGAATAATTTCCAGAGCCTGACTCCCTATTAGGGTTTGGGATGAATATCCGGAGGGGAGTTTTAACGTTATCATGAAATGGAGGTAACTGTCGGGCACTTCTGGCACTTTCTGATCCTCTGAGCAGTTGTCTTTTTTATTTTTTTATTTATTTTTTATTAAAAAAAATTTTTTTTTTCAACGTTTATTTATTTTTGGGACAGAAAGAGACAGAGCATGAACGGGGGAGGGGCAGAGAGAGAGGGAGACACAGAATCCAAAACAGGCTCCAGGCTCTGAGCCATCAGCCCAGAGCCTGACGCGGGGCTCGAACTCACGGACCGTGAGATCGTGACCTGGTTGAAGTCGGACGCTTAACCGACTGCGCCACCCAGGCGCCCCTCAGTTGTCTTTTTTAAATGTTTCTTTCTCGGTTCCGTCAGTCAGTCAGTTTGTTTCTAAAGGGTAAGATTGACTGTTGGGCAGAAGCTTCTGCTAGAAGTTTCCTGAGTTTGGGGGAGGGGGTCAGACCTGTGACAGAACTCGATTACCCTCCGGGACTGTGGACGGGGTTGCTGCTAACGAACCAAACAGCAGAAGTGATGGCATAGCGCCAGTGACCGTGAGTTGTAAAAGGACCGTGCCTTTCATCTGTGGTCCTCTGGCTGGGAGAACTCCCTGGGGGGATGCCAGCTGCCCCGTCTTGAGCCTCCCCAAGGGCAGCACACAGCGTGTCTGTGTCGAGGCCACGGGCAGGAGTGCACAGCGCCCGGCTGAGCCCATTTAGCCCCTCCTGGTCTCCGTCTCCAGGAGGAGCTCCTCAGGGAGGCTCTTGACTTCTGCCCTCCCAGGCCACAGATGAAATATGTACCCTTCCAGGGGAGGGCAGCTTCCGAAGCCTGTTTCTTGCTGCCGCAGGGTGCAGGGCTCAGGAATTCTGACAGAGGTTGAGCAACCATGGGATTCAGCACACCCTGCTTGGAATTTCTTTGCCAGTATAATTTCTTCAAAACCCCAGGATGTTTCCTGTCCATTTACTTGCAGTCAGTTCCACTGTGCGTGTAATTACAGCCACCAATCTGGTAAAGATTAGGTTTTTTTTGGTAAACGGGTCTCTGTGCTACGTCTTTCCCCTAGCCTCTCGACTCAGTGGTGCCCAGGTGGAGCCAGTGGCTTTGATAGGAAGGTGGCAGTCGTAATTTGGTCTTCACCGCTTGGTCGGCACCTGCTACCTGGGAAAGAACCTTTAGAGAAAGAACATGCTTGAGAGACACTTTAGGGCCTCAGGCTTGTCTCATCTGTGAGATGGCTTCTTCTGGAGACAACGCTTGTCTTTTTAAGAAAATTTAGGGGCGCCTGGGTGGCGCAGTCGGTTAAGTGTCCGACTTCAGCCAGGTCACGATCTCGCGGTCCGTGAGTTCGAGCCCCGCGTTGGGCTCTGGGCTGATGGCTCGGAGCCTGGAGCCTGTTTCCGATTCTGTGTCTCCCTCTCTCTCTGCCCCTCCCCCGTTCATGCTCTGTCTCTCTCTGTCCCAAAAATAATAAATAAACGTTAAAAAAAAAAGAAGATTTAATTTATACATATATATGTAATTTTTAAGTTTTTATTTATTTTGAGAGAGAAAGAGAGCGCGAGCGGGGGAGGGGCAGAAAGAGAGTAAGAGAGAGAGAACTCCACGCGGACTCCGCACCATCAGCACAGAGCCCAATGCAGGGCCCGAACTCACAAACTTTGAGATCATGACCTGAGCCTAAACCAAGAGTCAGACACTCAATGACTGAGCCTCACGCCCAATGTGGGGCTTGAACTCAGGACCCCAAGATCAACAGTCTCATGCTCTACTGACTGAGCCAGCCAGGCACCCCTGGAGCCATCTCTTAAAACTGTTTCAGTTTGGGATGCAGAAACCCCTGCCATTTTTGTTTGTTTGTTTGGTTGGTTGAAGATTTTCTTTTTTTTTTTTTCCCCTATATGAAATTTATTGTCAAATTGGTTTCCATACAACACCCAGTGCTCATCCCCAAAGGTGCCCTCCTCAATACCCATCACCCACCCTCCCACCCCCCATCAACCCTCAGTTTGTTCTCAGTTTTTAAGAGTCTCTTATGCTTTGGCTCTCTCCCACTCTAACCTCTTTTTTTTTTTCTTCCCCCCCCCATGGGTTTCTGTTAAGTTTCTCAGGATCCACATAAGAGTGAAAACATATGGTATCTGTCTTTCTCTGTATGGCTTATTTCACTTAGCATCACACTCTCCAGTTCCATCCACATTGCTACAAAGGGCCACATTTCGTTCTTTCTCATTGCCATGTAGTACTCCATTGTGTATATAAACCACAATTTCTTCATCCATTCATCAGTTAACCCCTGCCATTTTCAACCCCAAATGACCAGTAGTGGTGGCCTCTCAGGTCTCCTTCAAAGGAGCTACTGTAGGAAGCACACTTCACAACCTCCAGCTGCCACCTCTTTGGTTCTGCCATGGTGGTCATGCCAAGGCCATGGCCATCTGCCCTCAGCCTGCACTCAGGACTAAATTTACCATGCTGGGGGCGCCTGGCTGGCTCCGACCCTAAAGCGTGCAACTCTTAACCTTGGGGTTGTAAATTTCAGCCCCACGCTGGGTGGAGAGATTACTTAAAAAAAAATCTTTGAATTTACTATGCTCATCACCCCATCTGTCCCATTGATGAACCTAGTAGAAATCAGCCTAGGGCGCTATTCTTAGGACAAGTTTCCCATAATGCTCTCCAGCTCAGACACTCTTCTGGTCCTGGAGGGACTGGTGAGCCATTGCCTGGCTCCCTGCCCTCCACCCCGCCCTTACCCATTGCCAGCCTGTCCCCAGAGAACTCTGCCCCATGGTCCTCAGGCCCGTGAAGGGAAAGCTTCTCGTTCCTCTCGTGCCTCGGTCAGGATTCGGGGCCGGCCTTCACCCCTGGCCATTGTCACGGCACTCTTCGTCCTTCCTCTTGTCTAAAGCGGCGTTCCTTTAGAGGGCTTGCTGCTCATCCGACCGCCCTCTCCGCCTCCCCACCGCTGCCACCCTCCAACTGCTCTCCCCCATCGAATCCCCCTCGTTCGTTGTACACTTCGGCACCCAGCTCCTGGCTCCTTTCCACCCCGTGTCCTGCCATCATCCTGGGGAAGGTCCGTGGCCATCCCACACCGGGGCCCCCACGCCCTCCTCACATCTGATGGGCTCCTTGATGTCCCTTGGCTGCTCATTCCCGGGGGTGACTTGGGGTTTGTTATTGCCCCAAACCGGCTCCGAATCCTTGCTCAGCCCTCCTCCTTTCTGACCATGTCCCCATCCTCCTGGGTGACATGTGTACTATAGTCTCCAACACCTTTTTTTTTTAAACTCACCGACCCGTCAATTCACATTAACAGCGGCTTTCTCCTGCTCTGCATTTCTGCACTTATCCCTTCAGTGTTTACCATTCACTGCTGTAACAATGTTCTTGTCAAAACCCTAATCTTTTATTCCTTGTTTCCTTCCCCCAGCTTTATTCCAGTATGGAAACCGCAGCCCTTGATCAGCTGAGTGCCGCTAGGAACCATCGCCAAGAGGCTGCAGGAAAGCCCAGGGCTTGGGGGAGTCTAGTCGCAGCTGGTGGTAAAGAAATGTCTTCCAAGGGGCAAAGAAGAATATGGGCGAGTTTGGGAATAATGGATAACAATGGAACGGAGCATTCTGTGAATCATGGGGTTTGAGGAAGGAGGGATGGGGGTATAAACAGGAGAAAGGAACCACTGAGAATTATGGGGATCAGGAAAGGAGAAAACAGAACTGACCGGGGAAGCCCTAGCTTTTTCAGAGCAGCACTAAAGCAAGCTCTGGATGGATTTATTTATCTGGCCAGTGTCAACCAGGTAACAGCTCTGCGTTTATCTTTGGAAGATGGTGGAAACTCAGACCGCTCCATAGTTATCTGCTCCCTGGAAGGGGGAGGGTTCCAGGACCAGGGACTTGGATTTGGGGCTTTTTCACCTTGGAGTTGTTTGAGGGCAGGGCAAAGGGAACAGCTACAAATGAATGAGTGAGAAAGAAGATTGTTGTTTGGACAATGAATGCCCTGAGCAAGTGGGAGGGATGTGATGACAAACGAGGATATAAGCCTAGAAAGAAGGAAGGACGACCCTTCCATCAAAACACGGGAGAGGAAGAGCTGTCGGTTAGCGTAGGTCACGTCATCTTGACAACCCCCGAACCTCAGCGCTTGGAACAATACGGGTCTCCTCCTTTGTGCTACATGTTCATCATCGGTTGGCAGGGGAACTACTCTTGTTGAAGGAACATAGGCTGATGATCCACCACCATCTTGGATGCTGCTCATCCCTGTGCCACAGACAGAACCCTGGGGGGGTCTCTTGTTGGAGGTTCAGGCTTGGATTAGAGATGTGCCGCTTTCCTCACAGCTCATTGACCAGGGTTAGTCTCTCACACTGTCCCTCTTCCTCCTTCCCATACCCTCCCCCCCCCCCCCCCCCAAGCACAAGAGGGCTGGGAAGTCCAGTTCCACTGCATGCCTGGAAGGTGGATACTTGGAATGTACTTGGTGAATAGCACGAATGATCCCTACAGCATTTTGTCCCAGATGAGCTTTAGTTCTAGAGGTCACACAGAATGCCCGTGCTGGAAATCACCCCACACAAGCCAGTACGTGCCCAAGATCACACAGAGAGCAGCAGGATGGCTGGGAGCCAGATCTCCTGTGTCCCAGCCCCTCTGTTCCGTGGTAGCTTGGACTCCAGGGTTTTATCTTCAGCAAGTTTAAGAACTCTTTGGAGTGTCTTCCCTTCACTTGGAGTCATTAAAAAAAAAAAGAAAAAAAAGCTTTCCACTTTATTTTTAAAGTCATCTCTACACCCAACGTGGGGTCTGAACTCAAGACCCCGAGATGAAGAGTCACAAGCTCTACGAACTGAACCAGCCAGGGGCCCCCGGAGTCATTTTTGTGGATGCTCGTCCAAGTGTTGATTGCATCCTTGGCTATTGTCGGTCCTACCACGTCATTAGAATTAAATTTGCTTTCTTCCCAGGGGTCATGTCAGCTGATGAAACAGCTGGATGCAGAAGCCTCTGCGGGACCTAGTGGTCTTCCCAGCCTGATTCTTACCAAGTGTGAGACCAGCGGATTGTGAACAGTTTGCATACTTTGCCTCCATTTCTTTCTTTCTTTCTTTGAAGTAGGCTTCACACCGTCCAGCATGGAGCCCAACGCAGGGTTTGAACTCATGAGCCTGAGATCACGATCTCCGCTGAGATCAAGAGTCCGATGCTTAACTGACTGAGCCACCCAGGGGCCCCTACTTTGCCTCCATTTCTCATCAGAGCTTCTGTTACATACCACTTTGTCTGTCTCCTCTCCAATGCCTCTCCAGACCACCATGCTCCTGTAGCCCCCACGTTTCTTTCTGTGATAGCATTTTGATATGAAAAGACACTTGTAGGGGCACCTAGGTGGCTCAGTAGGTTAAGTGTCCGATTTTGGCTCAAGTCATGATCTCACGGTTTGTGAGTTTGAGCCCCACGTCAGACTCTGTGCTGACAGCTCAGAACCTGGAGCCTGTTTCAGATTGTTGTCTCCCTCTCTCTCTGCTCCTCCCCTGCTTGTGCACTTTCTCTCTCAAAAATAAACATTAAAAAAAAAAAAATAAATAAAAGGACATTTGTCACACCTGAAGCACCTGAACAGAGAGAGGCCCCGGCTTCAGGGAGGCTGTGCAATGTAGAGAACCTGGCCAACAACCCCAGGGGTCCTTCCTGCACAGCTGTCCGTGACCGGAGCTCTGAAGGACAGCCGGGAAAAGGACAGAGAGCCCGGGGCTTGTAAAGGACATACAGATCTACAATAAAAAATTCCGGCAACCTTGGCTGTACTCAATGATGTGATTGTACAGTCTCATAAGACTGCCTCTCAGAATGGCTCCTTAGGACATTCTTTGCTTAGAAAATGCAAGAGATTCAATTACTCCTCCAACTGCTAGCAATCCGGGATAGACTTCAGGAGCTGGGGACTCTGGAATTAGTGGTTGCTTACAAGGAGGAGGAAGTAAGCAGTTACTGAAAGTAATTTAGGAGTAAAGTTTGCAAACCTCTAAGAATCGTCTCTGATTACTTCACAATTCATAAGACGACAAACACCACCATGTAGCTGCTGAAAAAGAGAATGCGCGTCTAGATGTTTAGATAGGCTAAGATTTTCAAACCAGAGCTTCAGGTGGAAAAAACACACAAAGGACATTTGCAGGTTACACAGTGTACTACCATCTATGTAAAAACAAAAACAAACGCAAAGACCCCCCAAGGTTGGGGAGAATTATGCATATGCCTAAACATGCATAAGTTGGAAAGGTACACAAGACACTGGTAAACCGTTGCCTTCCTCGGGAAGATGGGGAGAATGGGTCCACTTTTTTTTTGTCTTTTGAATTTTGTGCCATTGTACTACTCGTTTTAAAATTACAGGGGCGCCTGGGTGGCGCAGTCGGTGAAGCGTCCGACTTCAGCCAGGTCACGATCTCGCGGTCCGTGAGTTCGAGCCCCGCGTCGGGCTCTGGGCTGACGGCTCAGAGCCTGGAGCCTGTTTCCGATTCTGTGTCTCCCTCTCTCTCTGCCCCTCCCCCGTTCACGCTCTGTCTCTCTCTGTCCCAAAAATAAATAAACGTTGAAAAAAAAAAATTTTTTTTTTAAATTAACCAAACGCAATGTGGCACCCGGAGACAGGAAAAGAGGCATTACTGGAAACTGGTAAAATCAGAAAAGTCTGGAATCTAGTTAGTTGTATCATACCAATATTAATTTCCTAGTTTTCGCAAATTTTTTTGGTGGTGGTTGCTTCTCGGTTCATAATTCCATCCTACCCACTTCTGTTAAAACCTATATAGAAAATCTGGAACTTCCGCCATTTTTTTCACACTGTTCCCTGTGCCTGAGAGGTCTCTCATTCTCTCGTCCTCAGAGCTGTATTCCTCTTTCCAGGCCACGTTCACCAGTTAGTTGCTTTGAAATGCTTCTTAACGCGTCCAGAGACATGGTGTGTAGCTTTTGACACAAGGTTTGCCGCGGTTTTACATTTATCCGTTGGGCTTCCGAGGAAGCGGACTCCCAAGATGAAAATTACATCGCGGGTTAAATTTATTAGGGATTCATTCCCCTGGAAGGGAAGGTCCAGTAAGAGGAGGCCGAGAAGTGGGGCAATGAGGCAGACCCAGCAAAAGCCTCAGCAGACCCCCAGGGAGCTGATAGAGACGCCCTTCCAAGTTGTCCCAACTTGCAGCGAGAGGGAAAGAGCCCTTGGACCCCCAGCCCATCAGTCAATGGACATGGGCCGCCCAGGAAAGGGGGCCTGGTCTTGGCTAGGGCAGCTCTTAAGCAGAGGAACTTCTCAAAAGGACTGACCAGCTGAAGGCTGTCGGCAGCACTTCCGGCGGCTGGTGAGCAAGCCCTTCACGGCTGAAGGGTCTGGGAGGGGTGTGTGTGGCCCACCACACCACTAATTGCACCTTCCCTTAATATTGCTAATGCAAGGACTAGAGTACAATTATGTGCCGATCTTCTAGGTTAAAAGAGTCAAAGTACTCTGGCCTGGCTGTCTGAAGAGAGCCTCGGGGGCGACAGGATTTTAAGGGGTTCTTTCCTGCACTAAGGACCGAGATTGTCCTTCCCCTGACCAGTTCCTATAGTAGCAGGCGGAGCTAAATCTTCCCCACGATCAGAGGCTTAGGACACTCATTCTCCAATTGGCAATGATGACAAAGGAAAAGATTTCATTTTGAGGGAAAAAAAATTTAGTCGATAACTTTTTTAGGTCTTTTGTCTTTTCAAGCAAATGAATACTTTTATTAACATGGTCATTTTTTTTTTTTTCCTTTTTATTACACATGGTAGGGTTTTGACCTCAAATGCTTGTCAGGTCTGCTACTCAAATGAACTTAGAGCAGGACAACTTATGAACTTCAAAAATACCTAGTCCCTGTCCACTTTAGGGTCCAATGCAGACAGTCCTCCTTCCCTTTCCCTGCCCCTCAAGAGCCTTTGCGAGTATCTCTTTCATTTTATGCCCAGAATCCCCGAGATGCATCAGGGTATCGCATCATCTTGTACAGAATACCAAGATCTTGTCTCCTATCCTAGGTCCCACGTCAAATAAAGCTGAGTTGGGTTGTCCAAACAAACTGACCAGACAAGTTACATCAGATAGTGTACCATACAAAATGTAAATTTCGAACAAAATACATCTCTTCTCCTTTGGTCTCACACAGAAATTAAAGTCCCAAAATACAGACACTACCCTCCTCCACCCCTTCTTCTGATTCATCAAGTCCTAGCCAGATCAGCCCCATTCACATTCCAAGTCCAAGTCTGGTCCCTTCTTCAGCTTCTTTAGCAGTTACCGCAGAAAGTACTCTTCTAGAAGTAACCCAGCGCCTTGGGCACCTCCAGAGCTGGAAAACTCCAACTCCTGCGTCTCATGTGACACAGACTCAAAGTCCCAGGGAGCTTTCAAGTCACACAAGAAAGAGCAAAGCGCCTCAAAATTTAGAAATAACCAAAGCCCAGGAACAAACGTGACTGCTGCAAAAGCTTACAATCTAGGCCCTAATTCTCATGTGAGAGCATTTTCCA